CTGTTAGCATCTGTTAGCATCTGTTAAATAATTGTCAGATTTAAATAATAAATATTTTGTTAGTTTCTCTGATCTTGGTAATACTTAGCTTTATTGTTTAGAATTTAAACCATGTCTGTTTTCAAAATGTTTGCGGATATAATTTAAACGTTTGTAAAAACAAAAAATTATTAATATGAACAATGGTTATTTATTTCCATCAGGTTCAGCCTCAGTCATGRTTCTGACTTTAATTAACAAACAGTTCTGAGTTGACCAGCAGCAGATCTGTCCAATGAGAGATGAGTATATCTTTATAAACAGACTTTAACAACACTTTTTTTAGCTTTTCTGTCACTTTTTTAAACAGATCTCTGAAGAACTGTCATCTCAAATATTAAATGAACAGTATCAGTTTAAATAACAGATGCGTCGAAATTTAGTCTCTAAACTGTATCAGTTCCATCTGTTCTCATCCAGTTGCATCATGCTCAGGTGAACAGGTGAGCAGGTGAGCAGTTCATGGGTAAACAGAACGCACTCTCACAACAGCTTTAAGATGCCCTCAGGATGCCCTGTGTTGGCTCAGGCAAGACTTATGACCATTTTACTCAGGACAGCCTCAAAATGTCTTCAGGATGGCCTCAGGACAGCCTCAGGATGTCCTAAAGATGTCTTCAGGACAGCCTCAGGACATCCTAAAGATGTAAGTAAGACGCACATTTCATCAGGACAGACCGGTACAACCCCCACATCACTGCAGACACAGCACCAATCCACCTGTTGATCTCCTGCTCCATTCTTCCCTCATTCCTGAACAAGACCCTGACATACTTAAACTTCTCCACTTGGGGCAGGACCTCCTCCACGACGTGGAGGAAGCACCCTAACCTTTTCTGGCTCAAGACCATGGTCTGGGATTTGGAGGCACTGATCATTATCCCGGCTGCTTCACACTCGGCTGTGAACCGCTCCAGTGAGAGCTGGAGATCAGGATCTGATGAAGCCAATAGGACCACATCATCCACAAAAAGCAGAGATGTGATCCTAAGGTCACCAAAAAGGATCCCCTCAACACCTTGGCTGCTCCTAGAAATTCTGTCCATAAAAGTTATGAACAGAATTGGTGACAAAGGGAAACCTTAGTGGAGTCCAACTCTCACTGGAAATAGCTTGACTTACAATGCACAAAACATGGCCTGGTACCCCATACTCCCAGAATCCCTCCCACAGGACCCCMCAAGGGACATGGTTGAAAGCCTTCTCCAAGTCCACAAAACTCGTAGACTGGTTGAGCAAACTCCCATGCACCCTCCAGGACCCTGCTGAGGATGTAGGGCTGGTACAGTGTTCCACAACCAGGACAAAAACCCCATTTTAAATAGGGGGACCACCATCCCGGTCTGCCAATCCAGGGAAACTGCCTCCGATGTCCACACAATATTGTAAAGTTGCGTCAACCAACACAAACCCACAACAATTCTGGAAGTGGTCATTCAACTAGATCTGTTACGAAAGGAAAACTGATATTACCAACTTTTAAAAACTGTTACGGCC